GAATAACGTAATCAGACGAGAATGTGTGCATGCGAACAATTGTATGGCAACGCGCGCCGATCACGAAAATGCTGTCCCTGCGAGAATGAATATGCAAACTATATGTCGTGTTGGCGGAAATAATATTCCGCAAAATTATCGCGACATGTTTAACAATCCCCACTTCTTTGCAAACATTTATGATGCATTTGTAACGAAATCATTTCTCTGCGAATGAGTGATGCATTTATTCGTCGCGTGATGTATTTATGTGCATATTCGCTTCGAAGTCTCATAAGTTCCTTTATTTTTTTACGCATACATAAATTAATATCCTGCACGGTAGAGCTTAATATATCGCCTAACGTTACTACTAACGTGCGACATTATCGCGTAACGAATGACACACATTGTTTCCAGCTAATTAATTAATTTATTTAAATGACCACGAGGAATTAACGGGTATGCTAAAGTCAATACAAGCCGCCGATGCACACATGCATACATACACATACAAAGCACAAGCGTCCGCGCGATACGACAGAATTGTGCGATAATCAATATCGCGACGGACAGAATCAGACCCGATCTAGAGGGAGAAGCAGTTTACGACGAACAAAAGTAAAAAGCATTAAAAATCACAAAGCTGTGTGTGTTCTCATGTTCGCTTGTCGTGGATTAATTTTCCGAGACGACGAAAACGACGAAGGCGAGATTTTGAAGTGTTCCTCCGCGCGAATTTAATCGTCGGAAGTGCTTCCAAAGCGAACACGGACGAATTATCGTGACTCCGAACTGTGCGCTAGAGTATGCCTCAACGTGTGTGTATGTGTGTGTGTGTGTGTGTGCGTGTGTGCGCGCGCCCATGTCACAAATTAATTCCTCGAGGAATCTCCGTATCTCGAACTTCCCTGAAATGCAGCTCCGAATCGGCATCTCGATTTTATAACTATAATTGGACCGTCGGTATATTTATCGCAGCGAGCGAACCGAGTAGCCTGCGACGATTCAACAGTTCCGGTTCGCGCGATCTCGCCCGCGTACGTTTTCGTTGAATCATTTTTGTCCGAAAACCCTTTGAAACACGATGTGATTACTCCTCGCGATATCATCGTTTGGCCGTGTCACGACTTAGTAAGTCCCGTCTGAGTATTGTTATTCATCGATTTGTTTATGTAAAGGAGCATAATGGAACCGATTATGCAATGTTTTTTTTTTTTTTCAACAATCAGCAAAGCTACAATGTAAATGCATATTTCAGCTTTCTAATGGCGTACCAAGCCATTGAAAGCCATGTTATTCGAAGTGCGATAAAAGAAATCTAAAAGTTTAGCGGCCAAGTTTAGCCCCATTTTTTGTAAATTTGAAAATGGTCATAATTTTGGTTTTTTTTTGAAAGCTTATTGCGAGTAGATTCCAAATATATAAGTATCAAGGTAGCGCTCCATACCGTTTCAGAGAAAAATGGTCCAAAAGAGTTTCACTTCCAAGAGATGGCGCCATAGGTCAATGCATATAAAAAATGGACAAAAAATGAGAAAAATAAGATATTTTATTGATCATTGTTAATTCTTATAGTAATATCGCAGATGTTTTCGTCCGGAATTACAAAACCATGGTTGTGACCATAGCTAAGATACCAAATGATGATATAGAGCGCCACTTTGATACTTATATATTTCAAATCTACTCGCAATAAGCTTTCAGAAAATACCAAAATTATGACCATTTTCAAACTTACAAAAAATGGGGCTAAATACCTATGGCGGTTTGGCTGCACTCTTTCAAATTAAATTCACAAGTCAAATAAAAGATATTCCAAATTTAAATGCAACTTGAATAATAACAGATAAATGAAATGTAAGAAAAATAAGAAGTCGAAAGAAATGTGGGTTAATACCTGAGTTACATTTTAAACATGTAATTTAATGTACATGTGTAAAAAGTACTCATTTAAATATTGTAAACTTACACGGATAAAATACGTATTACACAGATACAACAAAATTACATTATATAAATGCGTAAAAAGTAATTACACGTTTTTACACACATGAACGTGTAAAAATTATACACTTGAATTTGTAGCATGATTAAATCTTATTAGCACAAGCTTCGTTACGGGCTTCCACGTCAGCATCAATTTATGACCTATTCGCGAAATTCTTATATAGGCAGAAATTTGCCTATCTTGACCATATCTGGACCTTATGAAGGCATGCCTATTTTGAAGCATCCTTGGTTACACTGCAAATCTGAGTGTGTTATTTTTGAACGCATAAACGTGTAATTGGATGAATCTCTTTTTACACGTTTTTTACTGTCTCAAGTCGCATCATTTAACATGCTCAAATGTATAACATTTTAATTAATACATTATAAATATGTGTTAAATAACGCAATTTAAAACCGTAATTCAAAAGACGTATAAGAAGAATTTCAGCTAATTACACACTTATGCGTTTAAGAATAACACAGTAGGCTACTACATGTATTTAGAGCCCTAAATTTCTATCTAAATATGAATTTCTAAGAAAATTCAAAGAACATTAGTGAGTAACAATCAATAAAACACAAACCTTTTTATTTTTGAAAAAACATTGTTTATAATAATTGGACAGATTATTTTATATATTAACAAATTGAAATTATTTATTAGAATATATAATGCATATTTTGTACAGAAAATAAACATAACAGAATAAACAGAAAGACAGAAAGTAAATATATACAGAAAAAATTGTTCTGATTGCTACAATCACATTCTCTATAGTTAGAAAGAAAGTTATGTGAATTCAAGTTAAATAGATATTGCGTTAAAAATTGCTGTTAATATATGCTTATCTATACAGTTTTCACAGTCATAACAGTCTTATACGTAATATTCAATTAGTACATTTTCATGTACAGTATGAGTCAGAATTCGTGGTACAATCAAGAAGAAGGTAATTTTACGCCTTAAAATAAATTGTAATGGTTTAGTAACTTTTCTCCGATGGAAGTTACTGACAGGTTTAAAAAAAAAAAATGAATTAGAAAATTTGTCGAGTATATTTGACTGAAATTCGGCGAATTCGGTTTTACTACTACTAGTTACACTAACAGAAAGAAAATAGTTGATCTGAGATTATAGTTACTTTTGGATCCAATATTTTATTACTGTTCTAACACGAAAATGGTAGCAATAATATGCATATAAGATTATTGTCACTAATTAAGTCTAATTAAAAAAAAGTTTTCTTAACCATAATTTATAATAATAACTTCTCTATATGATTATAGTTACAAAAATGCTAAACATCTTTTTCTCAATATATTTTCTTTAAGCGATAGAATTTTAGTTATGGCTTGTTAATAAGAATTAATTATCAGTTTACTCTCAAGGTTAAATAAACCAAATTACTATTTTTAAACATTGATTGTTTAGTTGAATTACAAGTATTGTTGAAAATTGAAACATGTATCGTTGGCCGTTTTGCCGTATGTAAAGTTGTATTCTATGAATTAAGTTACTATGAACTGCTTCGAATGTATTATGTCTTTTTCAAAGTAATTTTTTTCTCGATAAATTTTCAAATTTATTTTTCTAGAAAACGGAGCTTCAATCGGAGAAAAGTTATTGAATTATTTTGATTTATTTTGAGGCGTATGATCACTTCCTTCTTAGTTATACTAGTTCTGATCCAACCTATATAGTTGCCTTAACTGAAAGGATTGCTGTTTTTCTGTTGTGATCTGCAAATCGAATATTATGGTTAAAAGATCTATAGAATTTGGTTGTGCAATACAGCATTGAGAATTTTGCTCAAATACGTATGGACAAGCAAAGAAGGCCAATGTAACATTTATAGACTGCTATGATTTTTGTCACTCTTTTGCGTACATGAAGGAAAAATAACATTAGTATTTAATGCAGAATGAAACGCAAGAAAATCTGGCCTATTTTTATATGAATTCTTCAGATTGTTAATTATAGCTTTGCAATGGCCCATATTACATCACGTTTTACACGATAATATTTTCATTAAGCAAATTAGGAATAGCAATTGAATGGTAAAATATGATTAATACAACTATATTGAAAGCATAAAAATTGAATATAAACATCAGTGAATTTACCTTAAACGAGTAAAAGCGACTCGACTGTCACAATATCTAATTTTCAGGCGAAACGAAAGTAGGAAATGGTTTATACCTTCATGTATGTTTCTTGCTTGACGCATAGCTTTACGTTTCATAACAAATGCAATAATTTCCACCAGTTGGCATCAGAGTGCAGTGCTTTATAGGATGTCCCAGATTTGTCTTCGCAATTTTTGTGGGAATGTAGAATGGATTAAGGTGAACATAAAGGTTTTATACCGTCTTGCAATATTTGTAATAATAGTCGAGCTATTAATTAAAGAAGATTGATGAATGATGACGTGCAATATGATAGATGAGCTGTAGTGGCGATATGTGCTATCGTGTACTTGTATATTAGGTCAAGTTGAGCAAAAAAGTCCTGTATCATTTTGCAAATAACCACGTAGATTCTTAGTTATTAATGAAAAAAATTGTTATATGATTTTGCACGATATAATGCACAAATCTTTTTTAATTAATACCTAAAAATCTATATAATTACTTGCAAAATGGTAGATAACTTTTTTGTTCAGTTTGATCTAATGTACAGACATTCAACGACAGACAGCGCCACTACAGCTCATCTACCATATTGGGTGTGATTATTCACCAATCTTTTTTAATTAATAAATTAAATTCGATTATTATTGCGAATATCTCAAAACGTATGGGACTTTTATGTTCACTTCAGTCCATTTTACGTTTCTACGAACGTTGCGGAGACAAATCTGGAACAACCCGTGTAAAAAAATAAGCTCCTTTTCTATATTACCTATATATACTTATTTTATAACCTTTACTTTACATCAGCGATTTCACTCTCTCCCGACTCTACGCCACCACCTTCGCCGTTACCGTTACCGTCCATTCATGCAGTTCTACGATTTTAATTTTAGCATATTGGCCTCGGGGCGACAGCGCGGCGTCGTCGCTCTTCGGCGGGATGCCGGGTGGTTACGGTTTGGGGGCCCACCATTTGCCATCGGCTTATGCTATTCTGGGCCGAGGGGGCTCAGCGCCTGGCTTCGGGGGCCACACGCCAGCTTCGGCGCCACCCCCGCCCCCGTATTCCCACAGTAGCCTCGGGACGCTCAGCGTAGCTGCCAGTCAAGCCGCGAGTCTGGGTAAGTCAATTTTCCCCATCTCACCCCTCTTATCTCCCCTTCGTCTCGTTCTCCTTCGAGAGGAGCCCTTCTGTTAGTTTCATCGATTATCACGACTATACACGTCGCCGTCGACGTCGGGGAACGACTACGCGCGGCGTGTCCTCTCGGAAGCGCGTCTCTTCGCGAGGCCGATCTCGCGATAATTTGGGATCGTTAGTTGGCTCGTCGACACGCGACATGTGCGCGAGTACAGAGAAACGTACGTAACGGACATGTGCGCCGTTAGATCCTCGCTACAGCACGATTTGACACATGTTGACTGTCACGCTAATTTTCATTGATCGTTCCGAAGCATAATGGAAGCTCGAATAATCAAAGATAAGGCGGAACACCCAAATACTGACATATCCCTTATGTATATTTCTACCAACGTCGATTAAATTTTAATTTGAGTTTAAACTCTATTTAAAGACTTAAACTCTGGCTAAGATTTAATTGGCTTTGGTAAAAACATACATTAGTTATTGATACTCTGGAAAAACCTGGTTTTTCTTGCAATCATCGATATATGTTAACAATTTTAATTTAGTTTGACAAAAAAGAATTTAACAACTAAAACCAGCAAATGTCGCTGATTGCAAAAGAAAATTCGCCAACGGCTAAGGAAGATGTCAATAATTGAGTGTTTTACGTTACTCTTCAAGTTTATTGGAGCGAAATCTCACACAAAATGAGTGATAAGTGACAGTATCTTCACTCGAAGCGATAATAAAGAAATCACTTGAAATTGTAAAGTGAAAATTTAAGCTTTAATTTAGCTTAAAAAAAATGTAGATTTTAACTACGTACAAATGAATACATTAATCGTAATCTTATGTGATTACGATTGAGTGAACAAATTCACTCTAATCGATTGAAACATTTATGTAACAGTAATACTGTAACAGTGTAATATATTAGATTCATTTTTCAATTTTGAGCGAAAATATTTTTTTGATTCAGAGTGGAATATTTACCTTGTATGAGTGAAAAGTCACTCAAACTCGAGTGACTCGGCTGTCATTCTATTGAAATTTTACTCCAAACAATTCAAAGATTACGATAAATAAATACGATTGATGCATATATTTGCAAGCTTATTTCATTGGTTTATTATTGCTCATTTATTTGAATTGTTACAATAATTTACTGCATTTTAATAATAAATTAATAGCAAATATTAAAGGAAATATTAAAAGTATTAATGAACTTTAATATACAGTAGCATTTGCGATAAATTAATAAGGCATTACAGTATCATAGTGCCGGTCATCGAAGACCCTCATCGCATTCAACGTGTGACAAATATACCGTATTTAATTAATCATTAAAATTATATATATAATAATATAAACTTTTGTTACATTAATTAGCAGAAAGCTATTAATTTACTAAAAATTACACTTACATTTTTATATTACATCTTATGTAACATTGTTTTGAGCAGATTTTGATCACCCTTCTCGTATTTTTATTTCGTCAGTTTATGTAATAAATATGAGTTCCTCCATATGAACCACTCATAAAGGACGTAATCTTTAAAAATCCACTGGTAAAGTTGCCGCCAGATTTACGTACTATCTGGATAGGTATAAGTAATTTTTACTCGTTCAAGTAATATCTATTTGCAGAAAAAAAATATTTGAATTTTTTTCATTAGATGATGAAATAAGTATTAGAGAGGGAGCTTAAGTATTTTTTTCAATATGAATAAGAGTTACACTACATTTCTAGGGTCAAGATCGAATCGGCCGCGAGGGGTCGTGCTTTTTAAGACTGATGTTTTCTTTTCCGCCTTTTATTTTCTCTCTCTCTTTTTTTCTTTTTCTCTTCTCCTTTTACATACCGAACGGCGGATTCACATGAGCCGAATGGCACGGCGGACGCCGATTGTTCACGTTGCAGGCATCAATCCGGCGAGCGCAGCATGGTGGACAATGGCCTCTCATCTGGCGGCGCAGGACTACATCGCGAGGCTACAAGGAGCGGCAGGACTCCCCGGATTTCCACCCGGTGCCGAGAGCCTCCTGCCGCCCTATCCCGCCTCTCTACTTAATCCCCCGTCCCTCTCGTCCCACAAGTCCAGTAAGTGTAAGTAGCAACACGATCGACGTCGGCGCGCGATGCTCGAGAAACGTCCGCGTTCGTACGTTACGGCTTAATCCTCGATCGCCACCCGGAGTCCTTTCAGAATTAGCTGCGTCGATGACTCCGCGCGCTCGGAATAGTCAGACAACGGTGTATTTTTAGATGCCATATTATCTCTTTTTAACGTTGAAAACTTGGCAGCCTGTCTCCCCGTAAGGATACATCGTCAATTTTTATTTTCCGCTCTCGCGACTTGTCGTTCACGATCGATGAAAAAAAGAAAGGAAAGTAAAATTCTCTAAAATTCTCAAGATTTGCCCTTAGTCGCGTGCTTTTTTCTCCCTTTTTCTTTACCTATCTTCCTGCGACGTGGAGAACTCTCGAGACACATAAGATTACGATTGTCCCACCTGCGCGATCGAGTCGACGATCGCCGAGCCGAGAGAGGGAGTGAGTGAGAGAAAGAGAAAGAAAGAGACGAACGCGGACTTTTCCGACAGCAATACCGGGATCGGGTCGAAGCGGCAGAACGCGAGTTTGTAATCGCACCGTCCGTTTCCACGACCGAACAGCTAAGTCAAGCAAGAGTCACAAGACGCCAGCCAGCAGTAGTAGCTCGACGACTCCGAGTATGACGAGCAGCAGTCTACCGGTGTCCACTCAAGCGCCGGTGACGTCCTCTCATCACAACACCCCCGTCAGCAGCACGCCAAATTCGCAAACGAATGTCGTCAGGTAAGATAGGGAGATTCAGGCAGTCAGTTAGTCCCCTCCTCTCATCTGCATGCTTAAGTACACGCCGTTACCGACGCCACCGAATTTCGCGGATCGTGTCGTTTAACTCCTGTCGAAATTGTATTTTCACGCTGCGCCTTCTCTCACGTCGCAACAGTTCCGCCAAGGAAGGAAGGTGAATATGCCAGTTGACACACTCACGAAGTCGATTCCGCGATGCTTCTGCGCGAGAGAGACGCGACTTTGCGATCGGAATAGAATCTTTCCTGGTGAACGAATAGTCAGTGGTCAGAAAGATCTTAACACTTTCACACCGATGAACTTTAGAACGCATCCGGTATACAGCAGAAAAAATTTTTTCGAAGAATTTAATTAAAAAAAATTTGTTAGATACAGGTACATTGTAAAATTCACTGAAAAAACAGTGTTGCAATTTTTCTTTCACTGACTACAACATAGATCGGCATAATAGTCTTAAGAATGTTTCGGCGCTATTACTCTCAATCTGTATTTTATTAATAAAATCGTTTAAAATGACTAGAAAAATAATTTTATAATATTAAATGAAATTCGTAAATGTCATAATATTTAATTGTTTTCCTTTTTATTTTAAAACTTTTTGAATACTTTAAAAGTGACAAGATAAATTTCTAAAACTCATTTCATGTTAATACCAAGTGTGTGTGAAGCTGGCGTCCCACTTTGCAGAAATTCATAAACTATTTAGAGTCCCGTTTTCCTTTTTAATTAGTTCTAGAATTCCTGATAGATTAAATAAATAGTTCTGCTCATTAAAGCAGAAAAAATAGATTCGGATACACTGAGACGCCAGCTTCATGCTGAACCTCAGTTTGTTCTAAACGAGTTTCACTGTCATGCTAGATTTTGCAAGATCTATAGTTCTAAAAGAGTCCTGTAAAGAGTTCTGCTGTAAAAACAAGAAGAAATAATTATAAATAAATAAAGATTAGTGGCAATAATATAATAAATATTGGGTTGTTAAACTAATCGAAATCTCGGAGTTCTGATTATTTTAAAATAATTGTCATAATCCTCAGCATATCAAAGTATTTTCTAAGAAGTTCTGGGCACTAGCAATGTGTTGTACGATTTTAAATAAATTAATAATGCCCGAGCGCTTTGTACCTAAAAAAAAAAATAGGTTGAGCTACTAGCCGAGATCTCAGAAATCTCGTTTATCTAAAGTATTTCTCGTATGATCCTGTGCATGCTAGAGCATTTTATAAAAAGTTCTGGGTACTGGCAATGTTGTATCACTTTTAAATAAAATAATATCGCTGAAACGCTTTATATATACACTTAGAATAGGATGAGATGCTAGCTTAAATTTCGGAGTTCTAGCTATCTTAAAAGAATTTTCGTATATTATTATTATTAATTATAATTATTAATTATAATAATTTTATTAATTATAATTATTAATTAAAATTATTTCGTATTATATATAATTTTTATATAATTATAGTTTGTAGCATATTAAAGAATTTTCTAAAGTGTTATGAATACTTTAACGATGTATGATTTAATAAATTAAAACCGCCCACGCACTTTGTATTTAATGAAAATAGAGTGAAACGCTGGTCGAGATCTCGGAATTCTCGTTTATTTAAAATATTTTTTATATAGTCATGTGCATGTTAAAATATTTTTTAAAGAGTTCTGAGCACTAACAATGTTGTACGATTTTTAAATAAATTAATATCGCCTGAACGTCTTGTACTTAGAGAAAATAGTGTAAGACGTCATCCGGTGTCTCGGAGTTCTCATTTTCTTTCTATAGGTATAGCATTGTATTAAATAGAGTGATTTAAAACAACTTTCTGTCCTTAAAATAACATATTTCAGAGTAAATTTTAAGATCCACTGTATTCTTTCCAAGGACTCTTTAAGAGATACTTTAGCATGCTGAGAACTATACGAAAACTTTTTTGGGATGGATAGAATTCCGAGATTTCGACTGGTGCCTCATTCTATTCTCATTAAGTACAAGGCGCTCGGATAGTATAAATTTATTTAAAAATTGTACAACATTTTGCTAGTGCTCAGAACTCTTTAGGAAATGCTTTAATATGCTAAGGATTATACGATAACTCTTTTAAAATGGTCAGAACTCTGAAATTTCGACTAATTTATCAATATGTATGCTCATTACATCATTGCTGCTTATCTTTATTTATTTGTAATTATTTTTGCTTTTATACAACAGAATTCTATATAGAACTCTTCTAGAATTATAGATTTTGCAAAATCTAGTATGATATAGCAGCAAACATGCTTAGAATAATTGAGATGCAGCGTGAAGCTGGCGTCTTTGTTTATCTGGACAGATTTTTTCTGCTTTAATGAACAGAACTATTTGTTTAGTCTATCAGGAACTCTAGAACTAATTAAAAAGAAAGACGGAATTTTAAATTGTTTGTGAATTTTCACGAAATGAGACGTTAGCTTCACATACACTGATACCAATTATGAGAAAAAAAATATAAACACGACGTGATCTTGTATTTGATTAATGATCAGTTTCATTTAATTTGAATTATAAATACATAGATATTATATTAACATAAATAAAAATAGAAATAAATATAAAAATAATAGTATGATGTTATTTGTCTCTCTCTCAGATTTGGCACTAACTTATCATATCTGTGTTGTGTTGTTTCAATTAATATATGAGTAGAAATAATATTTTTACTTATATATTGTCGATTTTATGAATTTTCTTATCGAAAGATCAAAATTTGTGTTAATCTGATAGTAAATTTGTATGAATTTTATTAAAATATGCTTAAGTATTTTTTTTATTATTATGACAGTTTTTTATAACTGTTGTTTTGTATACAAATATGTCAAATTAGAAGAAATTTGTTGTATTATAAAAGTTCTATGTATACTACACACACAATATAAATTTATAATTAAATCTCTCTAAAATACAGATAATTAAATCTCTCTTAAATACAGATACAGTAAAAATTATTAGAATTTCGATTACGTATTGTTAGTTTGATTAACTTTTATGCCATGTACATTTGATAGGTACATGTTTCATTTGAATATACGCTTTAGATCTGCTTAACGCATAAAGTTATACTTTACATTATGTCATTAAATTATGCATTTATTATAAATTTATCATAAATCATATATTTATTTATTTACTGTACATTTATTTATTATACATTTATCTCATACACATTTCACGTATAATACATTTATTTATTATATATCATATTATACTATACATTTTATTAAAATTTTATTAAAATATTTTATTAAAATTATATCATTCTTTAGAACTTAGAATGGAAATTCTTGGAAGATGGAGTTTTCATGAGAAAATTCTAGAATGGTAAAACTTGACGTGTTAAGACTATTTCGTCGATCTATGTACCGATCTTTCTTACAAGCTTTCGGTGAAGTTTGATTATTGAATTGAAGTTACGGTTTAAATTTCACATACGCGATTATGTCATCAATTGTTGAATAATAAGAAAAAAGAAAGAATACGGATAAATCGATAAGGAAAAAAAATATATTTCATGGGGATGAATTCTTCTCTAGTGATCCTAGCAGTATATTGGGAGGTGTGCGTCTACCTCCCGACACGGAGATCATCAAGTATACGTCGAGTATAGTCGGCCCGAAGGTACCTGGGACGACGAATCGCGGCAGGAAGAAGACAATATCCTTGGACACTCCCAGTGTCAGCGTACACCCGCCGCCTGTTCCTGCCCTCAGCGGGCATCAGACGAACACGACGTCTACATCGTTAATAATGGAGCCGAGAAAGTACAATCGCACGGGGGTACGTTTTTTCGAATATTACCGCGATTTCGAACTTCGGACCCATCTGGAAAATCACGAAAAGTTCATTAACATATTTACTCTAATTCATAACTCTGAGTTTTTTGACCATCCATATTATAGTGACATTTGTATTATTGTAAGCATATAATTCATGTGTATAGGGTGTCCCACAACTGGTAGAATACCCGTTAGGGATAGGTAGTGGGTGCAATTTGGAACTGAAAGTTTCTTTTCCATTTTTGAATCCGACAATTAGTTGGTGAAATATTAATCAATTAAATTTGCCAATCCTTAGTGCCCTGAGTGAGTCAGGGATGTAGGACGCCATAGACTCCTCAGGAGCTCTGCTTATCTATTTTTCTCTCCTTTTTGTATATACACATTAAAATCATTTACAATACTTAACCACCGACATGCAGAAAACTTTTAAGTCATCCGCACACTTGAAGGAAGCATACCACACATGCCCTCCCCCTCCGGCACATAAAGTGCAATTACTCCGCCCACTTGCACTAAAAATATTCAAATTATCCATGCACTCATAACCGCATACAAAAATACATCAGCCCCATACATTGAAAACTTGCCACTAGCCCCGATCAAGTACCCATCCACACATTCACTCACTCACTCATTTATCCTTATTTATTTCTCTATGATATAAAAAAAGGAAGAAAAAGCAAAACCCTTAACAACGTGGACAAGCAGGGCCCCTAAGGAGTCCACCGCGTCCTGAGCCCTGAGCGCTCACTCGGGGCGGATTGGTAGACTTAATTAATTAATATCTCATTAACTAATTGTTTCGGATCCAAAAATGGAAGAGGAACTTTCAGTTCCAAATTTCACCCCCTACCTACCTCTAACGGGTGTTCTATCAGTTGTGGGACACTCGGTATATTAATCATATAATGCGTTAACTTTGACTGCCACGCAGATTTTTACTGATTTTTTCAATGCTCAACAGGTTTTTACAAATATTTTCTTAAGAGATGAATAAAGATATTAATATAAGAATTAGTTTGAATGTAGTATTTATCTTTGTTAGATAAAAAGATGTTTTTAAAAAATTATATTTATATAAATATAATAAAATATTTAAAAAATTATCTGGATGGTTAAATTTCAATTTTTCTAATAACAAAATATTTTTTTATGCTTAAAGCATTGATAAGTAATATTGTTAAACCATTATATTAATATCTTTATTCATTTCTATGAAAAAAAATTGGTAAAATTTTCTATTTTTTCGTCTATTTAGAATCTCCTTTTAAAATAAATAATATTTATTTGAATGCAGTATATATTTTTCTATATATTTTTTGGTGTGTAGTAAACCATCTTCTATTCATAGTGGTGAACCACCATGCCAATTAACGTGCTTCATATACTTGTGATTATATAATACTACAGTAGCACACACTATGCCGTCACACATCTTTATATTCGTATGTGATGACAAATTCGCAATAACTATATTATATACGAAATGTATTATATAGTATAATTAAACGAATTTTCTACTTTAATTTTATTATCATATGAGGTGATTTGTCTCACGGGAGACCACCGATGATTGCCGTGACAGTCAATAAGTTAAAATAATATTATCCTTTTAAAGGCTCAGGCATCTTTTGAATAAAATGTTTTTGTTTATAAAATAAATCTTGAAAGACGCTTCTGATGAAAGAGTGTTGTGGTTCGTATAAAATCAACTGTTAAAAAGTACGCAGTTTTCTGAATATACATAATTATGTATATTAAAATTTATACGTGTGTGTCTTGGGTACAAAATTTAATAAATCTTATTTTTTTATTTTGAAGCATTGATAGAAAATTAAAAAAATAAAATTTGCTTACTTTTATTTCATGAAAAACCTTAGATAATTTCGAACAATTGTGCTTTGCATATGATCGCTATATTGGTTCCTTCAACGAGAAAATCACTATTTTATGAGTTGGAACAAAGAATATAGCTTTATCTAGAAGATATCGATAGTATTATATCGATAAAACATTAAATACACAAAAACATAAAAAATTTGCCAGTATAAAAAATGTAATGAATGTAAATGATTATACAGCGTGTCCCAGATTTTTCTCCGCAATTTTTATGGGAACGTAAAACGGATTGATGAATATAACAATTCTATACCGTTTTGCGATATTCGTAACAATAGTCGAGATATTAATTAAAGAAGATTGGTGAATGATTACACGCGATATGGGGGATACTACGATTTCCGGGGCGCCAAGTTTTGACTGCAGATCCTGCATCTACAAGCGATTATAAACAAAAGTTAAAGAATGATAAGTAGCTTTATTTTGCAAGATATAGAGGTTTTTAGTTGAGATTTTCAAAATTGACGTAAATATGTTTTTATTAGTTTTAGACTATTTTCGATTTTTAATATGGGAGAAAGGACATCAAAAGGAGTACAGGGAGCAAAGCCTCCCGGTAATGCAAAAGTAACATTTATAAAAAGAAAAATGAAATTCTATAGAGCATTTCAAACACATATAATCTTTTTTAGAATTATTCGTAATACGTCCTAGTTTACATAAACGCTAATCTTTTTAATATCCATTTTTATATTGTAGGTTCATCAATTAGTAAGGCGAAGATTTAATAGATATATTTATGATACATTCTACCTTGCGTAGAGGCCTCGCTAGTTTTTTCAGTATCCATTTTTAATATATTGTAGACTCATTAGATTAGTAAGGCGAAGATTATACCTCCATGTGGTGCATTCTGGATAACGCGAAAATAGTCTGCAAATAACAAAAATATGTCGTTGATTTCTAAATTTGCAACTAAAAACCCTTATATCTCCTAAAATAAAGCAGATAGCCACATTCATTACCTTTTCACTTTTCTTTATAATTGTTTATAAATACAGAATCTGCTGTCAAAACTTGGCGCTCCGGAAATCGTAGTTTTACCCGATATGGTAAAATGATATGGAGTTGACGTTGTGTGCTTGTACATTAATCAAATTAAACAAAAAAGCACCTTATTATTTTGCAAATAATCCACGTAGATATTTAGTTATTAAAAGTTAATGAAAGAAAATTATTATATGATTGTACGCAATAATACACAAATCTTCTCTAATTAATAATCTAAAAATCTATGTGGTTATTTGCAAAATAGTAGAGGATCTTTTTGTTCAGTTTGATTTTACCTAATGTATAATGTAAGTATACAACAGCGTCATTTCAGCTTATCTACCATATTACACGTGATCACTCACCAATCTTCTTTAATGAATACCGCGAAATTTATTGAGAATATCGCAAAACAGTATGGGATTTTTACGCTCATCTCAATCCGTTCTACGTTTCCACAAAAAGTGTGGGGGAGAATCTGGGACACCTTGTATACACTAGACCTTAAAGGGGTTAACATCATTTCGCAATCCATGTATCCGTTGCTTTCTTGGACCAAAAAGCTACAGTAGAAAAAGCAACGAATGATAACGTGCATTCGAATGTTCATTTAGTCGCCGTAGGAAAAGCCGTTAGGCCATGCATCGCGTGTAATCGTTAGCATTCGATCTTTACCTTCCAGACCGACTCGAACGAGTACCGAGACTCGGTGGATCGAGTGGAGGTGATCAAGCTGCCGGCCCATTCGACCAACGGTTCGGTTCTCTCAGCGCCCACGGCGTACACCACCAGCAGTAACGCCAACAACGTCAACGACTCGGACGCGCCCCTAAATCTCTCCCTAAAGCCCGCCACGACGAGCAGTAGCTCGCCGATTTCTGGTAGTCAGCCGCTCAGTCAGCTCAGTAATTTAAGCCAATCGTTACTCGCCTCCGATCGAACGTGTAAGTATAACTGTGCACCGCGGCGGCGGCTTGTTTCCGGTCGTTACCGTTTTAAAGCCATTGTGGCGTAAAAGCGCCGTGTGTTTTTACTCGACGAGGGAAATTGCTCGGCAAATAGAACGGTAAAGAAGAGGAGCGTTGTTCTCGCGCACGTGAACAGGTCACTCGCCGTTCACGTTTTTCGTACCGTCTTTCGGATCGATCGGAATACGCGTGCCGATTGAACTCGGGATCGATCGCCGTAATCGAGGTGAATACCGGGCCGATGACTTCCGGGTAATCGTCGATTACCGGGGATGCGCGGTAATCGTTATTCTCGGGTCGTTCGTTGAATCGGAACGTCTTCTTTGTTTCTGTAATCTTAATTCTCTCTTCGGCTCGCGCGAAACTTTTTAAGCCGAGAGAGATGTTCTTTTAGAATCGAAATTAAGTCTGTTCCAAGTTGTAATCCATTAGACGCTTTATAGGCTTCAAAGCCGTTTTTAGTGTAAACAGTTATATAATAATATATATAACTAGGATAATAATGATTTAATTATTATTTTAATTAACTAGAATTTTTATTAATTGGAAATCCATTTAGTTATAGAATAAAATAAAATGAGATTAAAATATAGACAACAAAATTGAAAAGTGATAGGAAAGAGAAAAAAATACAGATAATTTGAAAAATATAACTTTATATTAGGTTAGTTTAGGTATTAAAAGCAAAAAGAAGGACCTTGTTAGAGAGAACTTTGTTCGATGTTTACAAAAATATCAAGTCGGTTTTCATTTCATCCATAAAAATAGTCTATAAAACAACTTTTTTATCACATGAATCAAATTATGTGATTTATATAATAAGTTTTATGTTAAATTAAAGAATGCAAATTTTTTCTTTATCCAGGATTTCCCAGTAATGTGATATTTAAATATAAAAAAATATTGATTTTTTCTATATATAACTCTATAAACATTTGTTTAAGATGTAGAAGCTAGTGATTTTCTACTCTATTTGACTTGTATGATTTTTTTTTAAATAAAATATATATGAGTTTTTATCATATCTTGAGCGTAATTTGAGAGAAATCGTGGAAAAAGAGAAAAATTGTTAATTCTTATGAATTTTTATAGATAAATATATTGCAAATGTATATATTATTTTTAGAGACAATTATATATAGATATAATATATAAATAAAGGAACTTTATATGTAGAAGATATTTAATATTGATAATACTTTAAAAAAATTTTTTAAATAAAATCGAATTGCGAATTTTTTTTACGTGTGATGTCTCATATACTATGTATTAAAGTTCAGATGACTGTTATATAAAAAAAAAACTCTGAATGTGTGTGTGGTTGAGAAATTTTTAATTTATTTCTGAATTCTATACATAAAATGTGTTAAAAAACACATAAAAAATTCCATGTAACAAATATTTTTTTAATCAGTGTTCTTAACCTCCGAAACTGAATAATTGTGTTTTTTACTTTTTACTTAACTTCATTTACTTAACAAACACGACAAATCTTTTGCACCAACCTAATACTATATTAAATATTGTCTCATTATATGTATAGTTAGAATGCTATAAAGCGTCTAATAGATTCTACCCCCTATTCTTTCCTGTTAGAACTCGCGATTTTCCCGCGAATTTCCGTGTTCTCGCTTTCGATCACCGTCGAGTTAACAATGTTTATCGGATTGACACAGCGAGACGAAAGCCCGGACCCAAACCGAGAAGAGTGCCGCAGAATTCGGTGCCTGTACCGGCGTCGCCTAGTCCCTCTTTGGCGCAGCTGTTCGCCGCCGCGGACTCGCCGCAGCGGCCGAGTAGCGGTAGCGAGGAGAGCGAGAGCGCGAGCACAACGCATCACAAGGACGGCAGGCCGCGGAATCTTGGCCGCGGCGTGTCGAAACCCAAGAAGAATACCGTCGCCTCGCTGTTGGCTCAGAGCAGAGCCCTCGGGATCAAGCCTACTCCGACCTTGGATCCTAGTGTGCCATTGTCTCACCAAGTGTCGTTGCTGAGGTCGAATATATTGGCGGCGCAGTTGCACGCCTCCGCCACCGGCCAGGGTGACGATAAGAATCAGGTAAAGGCGAAAGGATGACCGAGAGATCTCGAGCTCGAGATATTTCTTTCGGAAGTAACAAACTTTTTCGAACTGTATCACTCGCGACATTGCTTTTTTAACGTTGTGATCATATTCTGCTTTAACGAAGTATCGTTTTCCTCCTTTGTTCTGATTCTTAACTAAGTTGACCGTTCTA